GGTGCCAGGCTGGCAATACCATTTTTAAATGGCTATATAGCCATTCAAAATTTATAAGAAATTAGATTACATTTAAACAAAAGTTCTTCTTTCCTATGTATAAAAAGCCACATGATAAATATTACTATGATGATGCAAATAACTTTTAAATCCAAAAGCTTTTCATATTATCTATTTCATTTCAAAGTCTTGATGGAAGTAAAATATTCAGAATAAATGCATCAGTAGAGCAATCTGTCTGCTGCTAACTCTATAAAGCCATTTAAAGTCATACCCTCTGCCACTAAAAAAGTGTATCTCAAATTTGTGAAAACAAATTTTGGAGCTATTATCTAGACCTGTGCTTACAAAGAGACTCCCTCCTTTGATCCTTCCTCTATGTCCTTACTCTGAATTTATGAGGTTTTGACTATTGTTCTAGAACTCTTTCACTAACTTCATGGTCCTCTTATCCATGCTGGGTAGCAATATGTGCTTACTTTAGCCACCAAATGTCCAAGCAGTGGTATATATCCAAGAAAGGACCACGGGATAGGTTGCTGAACTTTCTTCATCTCAGTAATGACTCTAACCTTCATTCCTATGCTCCAAAGTCAAAGGGGGTCAATATCTCAGACATGCCCTTTAATTCTTTCTATTTTACATAGATTTTGAAGCTCAGGAAGCATAGAAACATTTGTTTAGTTATAGTCTGTTACAGACTTCTGAAAACAATTCTAAAGGTAGGAAAGATAAACATGGTGTGTGTTTTTCCTATCAGATATACGAATTTAATATCTTTAAGACTTGGTATGAGGGTCTATTAATATCAAAACCATGGGATGCAAGACTGGAAACCCAACTGTCATGTTGTTCTTTACATATCTAAAGTCTCAATCTATTATAATTCATTGGATGCTTTTTTTCCTCTTTTGTAATGGAAGCAAACCAAATGAGGAAATTGCGATTCTACCGAAGTAAATCCCACTAAAATAATTTTTTCTTATTTTTCAGAGTTTGCATTATCTCTCCAAAATGACAAATATAGTATGTAAAAATTTCTGTTAGAAATCTCAAAAATATGAGCCAGCTTGCTCTTTATTATTTATACTAAAGGGTATAGAGAGCCTTACTCATACATCTGACTTAAGTGAAGTAACAATGCTAGAATCGAGTGTAATCACTGCCCATATATGTCCCCACAGTGATTATAAAATGATTAAACTCTTTCTGCCACGATCTAGATTCCTGAATTAGGGGAAAGCCCTCTATGTCTGCTGTGCCTGAAGATATGGAATCCAGCTGTACTTGTTAATATGGAAAAATATCATTTCCCCAAGCAGGGGGCTGATGTTAGTGTGTAATATGTGCATCCATAGGGGTTACATCCTGGGATTCTCCACTAGTTGCTTAAAAGCAGGGGTAGTATGTAGCATCATATATAGTGCATTTTCCTATAGGTACTGCAGCCTTACCACAGAGTAACAGAGTTAATACATCTTTCCATTTTTTATTCTCTGTTGCCTCCTTTGGCTCTTTACTTTTGTGCTCTGCAGACACAAAAGAGCTTCTTGAACATATGCACTGCATTAAATATCAAGACAGTCAATCTGATAACCAGGAAGGCCACTGAGTGACTAATGGTGAGGTGCAGGTAGCATATTCAGGGTAAATGTACTGGTCAAAACAGGACAAAGTGGGATGGCCTGAGATTTCATCAAACTATTAAGAGTGGCATTCAATACAAATGTTATGAATTGCTTATTTTTGGAATTTCCTATTTAATATTTTCAGTCTGTGGCTAACCTCAGGTTGGTACAATTGTGCAAAGAAAAACTGTGGATAAAGAAACAGAAAAATTTGTTTTTAGTGGTCTCTCAGTTGCAAAGTGTCCTATGATTTCTGCTTTACTACATATCTTAAAATAGCTAAAAAATTAGATCTAGCTTAAAGAATGAGGTCAACTCAATTTTTTAAGTCATAATGTTCTACCAAACAATATTTAATTAGAAATTTCCCAAGACTGAGAGTAAATGTTGCAGCAGCAAGCTGCATCTTTCTTCAATAAAATTTTCTCTACTGCTGCCCACCGTGATGTTGGTAGTGGCTCTTTTATATTTGGAAGTAGAACTGGGAGTAGACATTTGTAGTTGTGTACTTTGAAGACATATATAATACTAATATTACATAAACATTAGCCAATGTTAATTGAGTATTTGTACATATCACACACTGTTCTAAAGAGTGTAGGTGTATTTAGTTGAAAGTAACAGAAAATATTACTGAATTATCCCCTAAAGCAGTTGGGAATATATAAGGTTACAAAGTTCTAAACAGATTTTGATTAAGGGCTAGGTTAACCCAAATTTTCTTCATGATTTGAGATTGTCTTAGTTCTGGGAAGGAGATGCCTGTGGTAGCTTTAGGAGTCATATATATGTACATAATATCAAAAGGAAGAGAAAAACTATATCAGAAATATGCCTGACAATAAGCTTGCACACACAGTTTTTATGGCCATCAGTCATTATTAGTTATTGTTCACCTACTGACTTTGAAGTAAGAAAATTAAATTTTTCTCTGAATCCTCTAGGGCTAGTTGATTGGAATTTATACATCTGACCATTTCTGAGTAAATTTCTGCCCTGAGGGAATATTATACATTGATAGGCTTAAGGCTAGATTCCTAAATTAAGAGAGTGATGGATAATATGATTTGACCAAAGTTAATAGGTCCTATCCACTGACTTGTGTTGGAAACAGTATCCCACACTGCATGGTTATTATACAATGGTGGTAGCAGGATGAATATTAAAAGACAGCCACAAAATCCTCTGTGCACATTATATTTATAATATCATGTAATTCTCCAAAGGGCTCTGTGAGGTAGGTTCTTTATGAAAGTCTGTTTTTCTTGTTTGTTGCTCAACTCCCATGGTTTGAATGATGCCCTGTTTTAATAAAATCTTGTAATAGCTGGCCGTCTATTTTCTGCTCTAATTTACTATATCCTGGGAATTTATAGATCATAACCAAAAGATGGAAGATTGTTCCTGGTATTCACAGCACATGGTACACATATTCAAATACTCATTTTTTTTTGCAGTACTGGGGCTTGAACTCAGGGCCTTCACCATGAGCCAGTCCACCAGCCCTATTTTTGTAAAGGGTTTTTCAAGATAGGGTCTCGTGAATTATTTTCTGGGTCTGGCTTCAAACTGCAATCCTCCTGATCTCTTAACTCCTGAGTAGCTTAGGATTACAGGCTTTGCACCACTGGCTCCAGGCTCAAATACTCCTTGTTATTTCTCACTTGGATTCTCCTTTCTCCCATGATTATTCAAATACTGGGGCCAAAATCAAATATCAATCCTCTTATAGTATTCCTAGAACTCTCCTGTCAATTTACATCTTAGTCTGTAAAAGCAATTTATAATCATTGTTACAATTTTTTAAATACTTGAAATCTGATTGTACTTAAATGAGCTTAATAAATGCTCATTAAATTTTTTGTGGTACCAGGTTTTAAACTTTAGGTCTTAGATCAAGCCCTCTGTTGCTTGAGCCACACCCACAGCCCCTAATCCTTAGTCTTGAAACTAGAAATGTAGAGCCAAATGTGCTGCCCACCTTTGGCAAATGTGCAGGTGTGACTAATCCATTCATTTATGGGACACTTAATGTGGGGCACTATAAGTTTAGTGGCACGTAAAATAAATGTTATCCTTGTCTCTTGAAGAAGTTAGTCTACCATTTAAGAGATTAAACTAATAAACTCAAATGTGATAGAAGAACCCCAGTACCACAAAATAAATAAAAATAAAGATATTGGGACAAAGGATTTTAAGATTCACGATATACTTAGGGTAAAAAAATTAACTTCCTCAATAGTTAATTTTAGCATAACTGATAAAAGTTAGGTAATAAAACAGAATCAACAATGAACATAACTTCTTTCCACTGCTTTATTTTTTAAGTGTGGAAATATTCATTTTTATAAGTGAAAATGAAATGAACCTTCTTCCCTTTGAAATTTATTTATTTATTACTGGAAACAAAACAGCTTCTACCTACTTAGAATAATTTTGACCAGTGTCTTTGAGAATGGCACGATGTTACACCACAATGAGACATTGTATCATCTTCCATAAGCAGAAACTTCTCTTGGGGTAGTGGCCAATGCCACTCCAAATACATACTTGCTCAATTATCAGTGAGTACATAATGTAAACTAGGTGAGAGTCAAGAATGGGTCCTTCTCTCTCTTCTGGAAGTCTTTAGCCAAACATTTGTTATTGTTATATACTCTTTTGTGCATAATAAGAGTCCTGTTATGTACTCTTAAATGCCATTTCCTTCTGTTGGTTATTTGTGTTATGAGTCAACTAAGTTATTTTGCCTTGGAAATTATGAAAGCAGTATATAGTTCATTTTTAAAAACAAATTTAAATTCCTCAAAATCTTAAAACATAAAGTTTCAATCTTCAGTTAATAAGGGATTCAGTTTTAATGTGGAAGCCCAGAAATTAGCATAGTGCCTGGCATATAGGAGGCCAATAAATTTTTGTCAAATTAAACTGATCATAAAATAATAAGGTGTCCTCACATAATAACAGCTTGTCCCTGGCGTTACCTAATTACAATAAACTTCAATACAGATCCTCCATTTAGGTAAAGCTCAGAAAATTTCTACCTAGGTTTATGTCGAAAGCGAAGGGAAGCGCGGAGACGTTACTGACTGACAGAATCTCGCACTTGTCGCCAGTAATTCTCGCTAAGATGCCCCACACCCGCTTTCCTTCCACTAAGAACATCCTCAGTAAACAGCAAAAGAAAATGGTCGGGCGGGACTTCTAATTTAAAGATCCCGGTCAAAGAACCCGGATGTAGCCGCCGTGAGATTGACATAGATTTTAGCCAATAGGGATGCTGAGAGGCGTATCATTTCGTGGGCGCTCCAATCGACACGCAGAGAGTCGCCGTCTCCTAGGTGAAGGCGGAAGTAAGGCCTGGGCGCGCTGATGGAGCAGCTCCTGCAATACCTGGATCGTTTTTCCGAGGTTCTGGCGGTATCCCGCACAAGCCACGTCAGCACCTGGGACCCCGCAACCGTGCGCAGGGCTCTGCAGTGGGCTCGCTACCTGCGACACGTCTACCTGCGCTTCGGCACCCATGGCCGCATCCGCACAACTCTGGAGCGGCGCTTGCACAGCCAGTGGAGCCAGGGGCGCGTCCTTGGGCCAGGTCCGGTCCCTGGATTGCTGAACTTCCAGGCCCTCGGACACTGTGACGTCCTCTTGGCTGTGCGCCTGCTAAAGAACCGGGCCCTGAGAGATGCCGCTAGTCACTTCCTGCTGCAGCAGCTGTTCCCCGGCCCAGGCGTCCGGGACGCCGAGGAGGAAAGGCTCCAGGAGAGGCTTGTCCTCCTCGCCCGCCGCCGGTCTGCGGTTCACCTGCTGCGCTTCAACGGCGGCAGAGAGAAGCCGGGACTTCAGGAGGACCCGTTGATAAGGAGCCAGGCCGATCTGCTGCTGCAGCGGCTGCAGGAGGTCTGGAAGGCCGCCCCGGAGGCCCCCGGCACGTATCTCAGCAATCTGTGGGAGCGCCTGCCTCGCATCTACTTCCTCAAGGTGACAGCGGTGGCGCTGTTGCAGCCGCCCTTGTCTTCCAGGCCCCAAGAAGACTTGAAACTGGTCGACCCCAGAACTCTTGAAGAGGGCAGGCAAGAGCTGGTCAGTTGGCTGCTGGGGAAGTCCGAAGTCATGTCTGCCTTTTGCCACAACCTTCCAGCCGGGCTTTTGACTTCGGTAATGGGCCGCCATCCAGCGCTCTCTCGTGTCTGTATGGGTCTGCTAGCTGACTGGGGTCGACGTCTGCACTACGACCTTCAGAAAGGCATTTGGGTTGGCGCTGAGGCCCAAGATATGACCTGGGAGGAGCTGTACCATAGGTTTCAAAGCCTCTGTCAGGCACCCCCACCTCTGAAGGATGAAGTCGTAACTGCCCTGGAGGCCTGGAAGGCGCAAGATGGAGACTTCCAAGTCCCTGGTCTTAGCATCTGGACAGACCTGTTGGTAGCTCTACGGCGAGCTGTATGATACTGCATTGGGAAGAGAAGAGTGTTAGCCCTCAGCCCAAGCCTCAGCTCTCCATGGGCAACATGGAAAATTCAAGGAACTAAACTTCCTGGAATATTAGTTTACAAAATGAAAAAATCTCAGTATTCTCGCTGAATCTCTTATGGCATGTGTCCAAAGGATAATTATTTCAGGGACTAATTTTGAGTGGTTCATTATACAGTTTCAAGTATGGAATTGGCTTGTAATGCTATGGATTTTCTGGATATAGAAGAAAACATTGGAAGTTTTCCAGCCATGGAATTAGCAGTAGTTTGCTTTTTATAAGGCTCTCTTCTAAGAATGCCAAGAATATTCATACTTTCTAAAGAAAATCAGCTTTAAGATGGCAAACAAGGCCCTCTATTATGATCAATATGATTTGCTCTTTTAATTTAGTTTTTTTATTTGCTTGTTTTGCTTGCTTCCAATAGCGAAGCGTTTTCTTTAACTAACAGCATGTGGTGTCAGAAATGTTAGTTTGAAAGGTAACAGTCCTACTTGGAGTTTAAGCCCTGAACTTTGGCCTTGTTAACTTAGTGTGTTATTTGGAAAGCTTTGTTTCTCATTTCTGCAAATTAGTATTCTCTGAAAGTGAAAAAAATATATATATTAGCTTAAAACACTGACAAACACAAAAATGTTTAAAGCATAATAAATGCAAATATACATGTTTGGATTTCATAGTGAAGAATCAAAACGAATTTATAAATTAGTGATCCATGTGCCACTCCTTCCATTAACTCAGTTAAAAGTCACAATAGTGGTGCTATAATTACTTTGTGTTAAATGAAGTACTTAAGAATAAAATAAGTAAATTTCCTTATTTTTTCCTTGCTGGCTGCCTTATGGAGAGAATCTGGACATTAGTTTTGTGTGTAGGAACCTAATTTTGTTAGTTGACTAATGTTCCTCAACTGGCAGAGTGATCTCCAATAACCAGACTCAAGAGTGCTTTTGTTATTTTCCATTAGGGGTATATAACATTTCAGCAATCAAGATGTTTTTCTTCATGTGCAGGTTAACTGATTGCAAGAATATTTAGAAAATAGATATTCAGAAAGATAATTTCTTGAATTAGAATGAAAAGTTGTATAATGCGGAATTTTTCATTCTATGGTAGAAACTGGGAGTGAATTATTATTCCACTACTAAATACACGTCTTAAAATAGTCCTGTGTGAACAGTAGCAAATGCTTACTCCCTGTGGTCTGATTCCTTTTTTCCTAGGGCTAATACATGTAAGCCATCTTGTATACTGCATTATTACTGCATTTAGCAGTAATAATGAAGGCAATTCCTTTCCTCAATAAAATTAGGTTTATTTGCAGAGTTCTACCATGGCAAGTCCTATACTAGCTTTAGTTTTAGAATACGATACAAGAGTTGTGAAGTTATTTCCTTTATTTATAGCTACATCTCACACTGTGATTTAAAATAAAATGGTAAAGATTGATACAGACTGAGAAGATTTTAAGTCAAAAGCTCCATGATATTGTTTGTTACATACATAGTTTGTGTAATCTTATTTAATCTTTGCTCCAAGATTTGATTCTTAAAATGTAAACAGGGATTAAGTAAAAAAAGCCCAAAGCCATGCACAAACACAAAGTGCGTATAGAAGCTATATGTTATTGTTTTGTTTCTAAGAGTTTAGCAGTGTTTGGCATGTGGTCTGTACTCCCACTGTTGGAATTGCTAACCCTCTGGTGCCTAAAACAGACACACAAGAGACAGAAAATCTTGACAAGGCAATTTTCTCTTGATCAAGGGAGTGCAAGCATGTGCTTATTCCCTCTAAGCAGCACCAAGACAAAATGGTTGACAGTAGCTCCTCCTTATATCCCTGATGCAGTTGTACCTGCCCCTCACCTGGGATTTGTCCAGGTCAGAGGTTCACAGTCTTTCCCAATTGGCTAAAAGGCTTGGGGGATGGGTTAGAGCATGTAGTTTGGTGGGCAGTGGAGTTGTACAGGAATGCCAATGAAGAAACAAGAACCCTTTAAACATGCAAGTTACCTAAGATGGTGACCTGCGGAATTTTTAAGTAATCTAAGAGCGTAACAAATACTTTGATAGAAAAGATCATTTTTCTTACACTACTGTTTGAGTAAATAAAACTAGCATTAGGACCTTAATCTTATGTTTTCTAATTGTGAATTTATCTGTTTTTTCTTGATTATTATATAAATTGTGTTTCATTTTCCTGTGGATTTGTGTTTTTCTCTGCTTTGAAAATTTTCCAATAATTTCTTTTTCCTCATGTTTTCTTTCCTCCACATTTTAAAATCTCTTCTGTGACTGATCATGCCTGTATTATAACTTCTTAAAGTGCACTTATATCCTACAAGCTCTCTTTCCTGGCTTTTATCACTATATTTGTGTTGGTGGGGACACTGCTGTTGTCTCCCAGGACCCATTTTCCCATCTTCGCCTTAGTAATGAAGTCCTACCCCAAATTTTAACTGGAAATGGTCACCCAGTTTGAGAGTAAACTTTCCAGTTTCTTCTACAGTTAGGCATGACCATAACTTTAGATTTTGGCTAATTGTATATAAATGGAAGTGACATGTGTACCTTATGTTTCCCTCCCCATTGAAATATTAAGTAATTTTCTTAATGCTCTGTTTATACCTTTTAATGGGCTGGAAAGTCAATGTGCTGATAGTGAACCAACTGGAATGAAATGACTGGAACAACTGCTGTCAACTCAAAAATGAAGTAACATCTTCACCATGGTAAAAACACCCTGCCTGCCCATACCTTATGTAGTAGGAAATAAGCTTTTCTGTACAATCCTTTCCTGCCCAAATCACTGTTTGGGGGTATCTTTGTGATGTCACCATTGCCTACCCTAAATAGTATCAGTATAGACTTGGAATTCTCTATGATCTGTTTGATATTTAAACCATTCATTTTGCATTTTAAGTTTAAACATTTTTTTCCCCAAAATTTTGTTTGGCTTTCTTTTTCTCAATTTTGCATGGCCATTTTTCATAATCTTATTTTTTTGTGTGTGTGATTCTAGTTTTATTTTTTAGCATTGTCATTTTAATTGTTTCAAAATCTGAAGTTCCTTGGGACCAAAACCTGCTCTACTTATTCTCACTTATGGCATTTTATTTGTTTACTTATTCTGCAATTTTTGGTGAGCTCACATATATTTTGTATTAAACTATGGCAATCTGGATGTCAAAAAAGTGTATTCTTTTCCCCTTAAGGGCATTTTGAATTACTTCTGTCAGAAGGACAGAACCCCCTAACCTAAAGCCACTTCCTCAAGATTCCTGGCTTAATGTAAATGTTTTGGCTTCAATTACCTTGCGATTTTCTTGGGAATTTCCTTTATTTACTAAAATCCAAACAAATGTTGGAGGTGTGTTTTATTGAGAATCTATTTGTTTTGTACCAGTTGGGCCTATGAAGCATACAGCTACTGTTTTGCCATGATCGAGGTTCTCAGTTTCCTTTTAACCCACACCGTCCTAATTTCTGCCCTCAACATTCCTCTGAAACAGATCTCACTAAGCTTACCAATCATCTTTATAGTGCCAAATTTCAAAGGACACTTTTGGGGTATTGATTTATTTGCAGCATGAGATACTCTTGACCATTGCCAGGTTTTTGAAATGGTCTGAAATTCTGTTGTCACTACTTGTACAGCACTACTCTGTCCTGGTTTTATCTCTCTAGCTACTTTTTTTTCAGTCTAAGTTTTTGGATCCTCCTGTCCTAATCAGCCTTTAAATATTGGCATTTTTCAGAGTTTAATAGGTCTGCATCCTCTTGTGTACTTTCAGTGTAAACTCCTTCATACTACTACTTTCCTTTACACATACTACTTTCTGCTGTCTATTGCACAGATTATATAGGAAGCCCACAGCTCGACTCAGAGCTTCAAAACTAATCTCTCCACTTGAATGCCTCACAAGCCTTTCAAACCAATCATCTCCAAAGCAGTTCTTAACATACCCACAGAAGTCTGCTTATTCCGAAGTGTTTGTCAATAATTAGCTTGAAACATGGGACTTATCTCAAATTATTACTTCCTGTCAAACCTTACATGTGTTTTCTCAATATATTTCACTTATGACCCTAGCATAGGCTGTTGTGACCTTACTTTCTTGTTTGCTTTTGGAGGCATTACACTCTCTGATTTCAAAACATGTTCTAAAGTGATTGTAATCAAAATAGCATACTACTGGACAGGAATATCAACAAATAGAACAATAGAAAATCCAGAAATAAACTCACACATTTATGGTTAACTAATTTTTGACAAAGGTGCCAAGAACACACATGGAGAAAAGACATTGTCTTCAATAATTGATACTGAGAAAATTCACATGCAGAACAATGATATTAGACCCTTTTCTTACATGATATACAAAAATGAATTCAAAATGGGTTAAAGATTTAACTATAAGTGCTGAGACTGTAAAAACTACTAGAACAGAGTGGGAAAAGCTCCCAGTAGCCCTGCTTTTTTTCTCTCATGTATCTCTAGCATATACACATGCTGCTATTTCTAATACCTCAAACAAAGCAAACAAACAACATTTTATCCATTTCACCACATAACAGTTCATTTATTTGCTATTCTTTACAGCAAACTCCTTGAAAGCCTCCCATTTTCTTTCAAGACTATTCCAATCTGGATTTCTCCACCAACAAATGTATACTCAAAGACACCTAATGTCCTCCATGTTGTTAATTCCAATAGTTTTCAGATCTCATCTTGTTTAATCAATAGCAAAATTTCACATGATTGATGATTCCTTTCTCCTGGCTCATTTGGTTTTCAGATTCTATGCTTTCTTGGTTTTCCATTACCTTTATTGTGACTCTTAAAACATTTTATCTACTCTGTATAAGCTCTCAATATTGGAGTATTTTAAGATTCACTCCTCTGTCTACTCTAAATTTGTTGATAGTTTTTTTCCCCTGTATGTAACTGTTTATTAGTGACTCATTTTCTTTAGCTCAGACATCTTAAAATTTAGACTTCTCTATATAAAATCATACTAAACTCATTTTAGATACTTAAAACTCAACACGTGCCAAATCTATTTGAGCTGTAGCCTTTTTCATCTCTGTTATGGGCAACTCCATCCTTCTAGTTTTTCACACAAAAAAAATCTTGATTAACATTCAGTTCTTTACACTGTGAATCCAAACTGATAGATTTCTAGTTCAATATATCACAATGTTTTAAAAAATTGAGCACTTCTTATCACCTCAATTGCTA